TGCAAAGGACAACGCAAAGCAGCTATGTCGCTGCACTCCTGTCCAAAGGTCAACACAAGCAGCTATGCCGCTGCTCACTAAGCCGCCATGCCTGACTCTGCCTCGAGCTTCCTTGGTGTGACACTACCCCAACTGGGGCCTTCCAGATGCAGCGCCCAACAAGGTGATGAAGATGGTGTCTACCATAGCCAGGTAGGTACCTCACCACTCGCCTCCTTCGCCCCCCTTCTTCCTCCTCCTCAGGCTGGGCTGCTCGCCATAGCCAGGCTGAGCGCCCAGCTGCTCTTCTCCTCCAGGCAGCACTTGCCAAGTCCAGCACTTGGCTCCAGCAGCATGTCGCCAATTCTTGCAAACCGCAAATGAGGAGGAGCTGCTTGCTCCTCCTGAAGATATAGCTGCCTACTGGCCTTTTGGGCGGTGACTTCCTAGGCCGAGCGGCCTCCCAGCAACCGGTATGCAATGACTTGCTGGTTTCTGGGTGTCTGTAGCCTCTCTCTTGTCGAGGTTGTACGATGTGTAGGATAGATTCGTAATTTTGTTTGGCTGAGGGCCAACCGAGAGACCCGCCTGTAAGGAAATTCGTTAGGGACATATCTGCAAATTCGGGAAAATATAGGCCCGTACTAACTAGAATTCCCTACAGCTATCCTAACTGCGAAATGCAGGCCCGGGCTACCCCTAGGACAGACAATCCCTAAGGGCCTAAGCTGATAGACGGTCCTATAGCCCATTGCCGGGTTGGGAGAGGCCCTAGAGGCCGAAACAGAAATGGTACCGGTCGGTCAGTCAGTCTGGTCTAGGTCGAGTCTAGGCTAGAGTAGAGTATAGAGAGGATGGGGACATCGGTTCAGGGCTTTTGGCGGTTGGTACCGAGTACATCGCTGCTGTGCAATGCGTGAACCGGAGGTGGTGACGGCTCCGCGTTGAGGGAGACAGACATAGCCAGACCTTCGGAGCGCCGGCCATAACTGGGACCTGCGCTGTACTCTGTCAGCACACGGGGCTGTACAGAGGTTTGGGTTATTCGAGGTCTGCTGGAGGCGAGAGAAGTTGGTGCCCTGCTGGACCCTTCTCCGGAGTAGGGTAACAGGGTTGTGGCGCTGCATCCATAGCTGCAGCTTCTTCCTCAGAGGTCATCTTGTCAGGAGTGGTGGCGCTGCTGCAGACTTCCACCCGGGAAGTCTTCCGACACTTCGTCATCATCAGATACTGTGGCGCTGGAGTTCTTCTTCATCCTCTGAGTGGCGCTTGGCCTCAGAGGCCTGTTTCAGGGTGGCGCTTCCCTCTGGAGGCTGTATCTGGGTGGGGCTTGATGTTTCAAGGACTCAGGGGTTGTAATAGCGGTTCATCAGGGTTGGGGAGTGAAGCGCTGCTCATTTCTGAGCAGCGCATCATAGTTCTGAGGTTATCCTGACAATTCGAGACTCTGAGTTTAATAAACAGTGTTGATACTGGGTTCAGACTATCATCGTTTTATTGTTCCTCTGATGTGATCTACTCGGATTTCCTTTATGACTGGTTGTGAGGATTGAGTGGAGTGAATTGCACTTTCAGTGTACCCTGTCATATCGCATGGTCAAGTCTTCTGCTGTGTTTATCTCTCCCTGTGCAGTGTGATACTCCTATCCTCTCCCCTTCCTTCTGTGTATGTATGGGCATACCTGGGAGTCTATATGAGTGAGTGTTGGTCTTCAGACAATAGAGAACCAGAATCATAACAGGTACCTCCTCCCTTTCGGAGGGAAACATCATTGCAGGCTCTGCTATCGTCCGGACAGACCCTAGACTCAGGCTACTTGGACTGGTACCGGCCCTACCTCCAACCTACCGCTACTGGGCCTCTAAAAATGCCAACTTTTGTTTTCTTCTGCTCAGCCTCCAGTACCCGACACTTCTACCACTACTTGAGTGGTACCGGCCTACCTGCTACTAGAGTGTTTTTCCCGCTGCTCTAAGTGTCGCGGGCCTATGCCCGCTACTTGAGTGTTTTCCCCGCCGCAACCCTCAAAGTCACGGCCACAGGTAAGTACCGGTCCTGCGGGGCCTTTCAACCAACAAGTACCCTTGTGGGTCACACACACACTCAGCCGACAAGCACTCAGACAGGCACGCAAACCAGCAGGCACGCACAGACACACAGACTTAGAAATCACAGCAGAATGCGGGAATCTCAGCAAGGCATTCATTCCAGCGGCAAATCCCAGAAGTCAGCAGTGTTCCCAGGCATTGGCACATATTTGCAGGCCCGCCTTGACTTAGGGCAGGCACGGCACTTTCAGACACTACCGAGGGACTAAATCCTCGCACCCCCCCAAAAAATGGAAAAAAAAAGAGCAATTTCTATTTTGGTTGTACATTTACGTATATTTTTTAATAATTTTTTGTCATAAAGCAAGAGAAAGTATAGTTTTATTAGTTCAGTCTACACTCTCTTTTTTGTTTTTTTGTTTGTTTTTAAAGTTTTTTAATAATCTACACTATATTCTTTTTCTCTCAAATTGTTTTTTTTCACTTTCACTACCTACCTGCCACTACTCCTAAGGCTATATAGAGGGGACCCCTGCAAGCATAGGTGCCTCTTCATATATATATAGATAGATATTTTTAGACGTAAAGTCACAAAAAAATTGGAAAAATGGAGTTTTTTTTTTATTATTAAATATATAAATCAACATTTTGACTTTTGTAAGTTTTGTTATTTTTTCACAGAATTGAGAGTTTGTTTTGGTAACTTTTTTAACACAAAGTCAAAATTTAATGAAAATTTAGTTACTAGTTATTATGACCAAAAAATGAAGAATATTGAGTTAGGTTCAAGGTCTCTTCAATAAAAGGGCCTTTACCCGAAATAGGCCTCAGGCCTTGTCAAAGTAACGCAGCACAGACCTTGTAAAAGTAAAGCATTGTGAAAAGGTATCTCGCCAGGGCTCAGAAACGTGAAAGCAGGTCAAAGGTCAAGTTCTCTATCAACAGGCATATCTAAAGCTAAGGCAAAGGGCATTGTCAAAAGACTTACCTGTTCACCAGGAGATGTGTATGTCATGTCTGTTCGGGTAAGAGTGTGTCTGTACGTGCAGGCAGTGTACCTGTTCGTGCAAAGTAAAGTGTCTGTTCAAGCAGT